AAACAAAACACCTCCATCCCTACCCACTATAAACGACATACTGCTATGTTCAAGCTACCAATTCTGACCTGAGACGACTAAAATCAGGAAGTATCCTAAATTTAGAAATTCTAGAAAATAAGATTTTTAGTTTCTGTTGATGGTGATAGAGTCTTGCCAAATTATCTGTGGGAGGAAATCTACAGCTCCCTGGAAAAACTATAGAGTCCTTCCCAAGGTTACAACTTAAATATTGAAGTCTGGAGTCACAATCCTCTTCTTGCTAATAGAGTATTGCTATGGCAGACTTTCAGCTAGACAATTTCAGGGTAAGGATTTGCCAGTCCAGATTTCAAATCAAGAAGTCCCAAAGAATTCAGTTATTACTTGACCTTGTATATTCACTTGGTAAAGTCATTTGTGAAAACAGTGATTTGATATAAATGTTTTTGCAAATGAGGTTACTAGCACAAGAAGATACCTAAACAAAACACCAAAAATATCAGATTAAGAAGTCAAAGATCATGTGTATGCTTTTAAATAAATGGCAATTTATTTAAATAAAATATTTTAAAAAATGAATATGAGCAGATTCTTGCTGATGTTTCCTTTGGAGCAGAATTTATTTGTCATATTGCAAAATTTGAATCTTAGGTTTTGGATGGCTAAAATTTTGCTGTAAGTCATCTTTGATTATATTTATAAATGCCTAAGGATTAAGAAAGGCATATATCTTTTTAAAGACATTTTATATTATGTCTCAATCATTTTGTGGTTTAATAGCTTGGCACGACAGTTATAAAGTCGTGATTTACAAACTTAACTTAGGTCCTCCAAAATGACTGGCAATCTAGACCACTCACATTCTTCCAGAAACTTTGTTAACTAGTTCTTCATGGAGGTGATCAGAACTTCTTCACATTCGTTTTATAACTCTGCCATATCCTCTTTCTTCGTTAGTGACCTTGATTTCTCCTTCACAGAGATCTTCTCAACTTCTTTACCAAACTTACAAACTGATGCATTTATAGATCTACCCTGTCCCCTTTCTCACTAGGTATAATGACAATTGGTACAAGTGGCTGGGACCCAGAGGTGGCAGTATTCCAGCCTCAACCATGCTAATTATTTCACCTATGCAACAGCAGACCACCCAAAGCCTGTGTCCCAAAGCTTGTGTAGACTTGAAGCTGTCCTACCAGCTTACTTAGTCTCTTCACATTGGGTCTATTATAGGAGAGGAAAGAGAGGAAATGAAACTTCTTTTTCCTCCAAGTCAGGGTATTTTAGGGTTCTTTTATTATAATAATTTAACTTTTACTCTAATTTAGTAAAATTCTGTCACTCTTTCTGTATGATCTCATCTACTACTCTGGCTTCAGTTATTTTCAAATGTTACTAATTCTAGTACCACTCTCCACAGCCCAGAGCTGCATATCTAAATGCCCTGCTGGATACTTGGATAAATCATAGAAATTCAAATTCAACAAGCTCAGATCTTAAATTAATCTCTTTTTACTTAAACTTTTTCCTCTGTTGTCTAGCTGAGTGAAGGGCACCATCAGTGACCCAGTGATTTAGAGTGAAAATCTTAGATTAACTATCAACTGCTCTTTCTCTCTCATACCTCTAACATACAAATAAATGATATCATATCAATTCTACCTCCTACAGAAATCTCACAAATCCATCTACTTCTTTGTCCATAGCCAAGAGTATAAGATGCTATCATAGCTTACTGGTGTTGCTGCAATTTACTTCTTACTGCTTTCCCACTTTCTAGTAATGGCCCCTCTATTCCATTTCCCACAGCACCTAGAGTAAGCTTTCTGCATTGCAAATCTGACTCCACTTGTCCTGCAAAGATTCCCCAATGGGGTTAAAATTTCCTAATAGGACTTACAAGGGTCTGCATAATCTCCGCCCTGTGCAGTTCCCCAGTGTTATATATTGCTTCTATGACCTTCATATGTAATATTGCAGCTTTTCTAAACTGCTTAATGTTCTGCAACTACTCTCTTGAAACACATCTTCAAATAATCTCTTTTCTATGCTAAAAACAAACTCTTCCTTCATCTACTAGCTAATGCCTACTTCTCCTTCAGGTTTCAACTAAAAGACCACTTCCTCAGGAAATCTTTCTTGATTTTTTTTCTGGTCTAGGTTAGCTGTTCCTCCTATGTGAGAGCACATTGCACTCTAATAGATAGCACTAGTTATATTGCATTATGATATCTCTTCACTGTTCCATCTCTAAATGAAGGACAAAGTTTATCTTATTTGCTTTCATATGCCCCCGATCTCCTTGACCCCATTTCTATTACTGTTACAACTAGGAATTCAATAATGGTATGCAATGGGAATAAATAAAAATTCATTTTGCTTGAATTTGATTTAACACACTTTCTGAGAAAGACTACATAGCTTTCACTAAAAGCTTTCTTTTAACCTTTCTCCAAAAGACCCATGGCCTCAAAATGTCTAAGCATGTTTGCAGTATGCTAACTGCTAAAACATAAGGTAGAGACCTTCACATTTTAAGAGGGAATACAAAAATAACCCTTTCTTTTTTTAAACAACAAATCTGTACAAAGACCAATTGAAATGATCATAAATAATTATCCCTTCACCCATAATACCTATATTAATGTACAAATATCACTGCCCCCAACATACACACATAGATATACACAAGCAAGAATCCATATACACAATCTCCTTTTTTGAAACCATGTTTTGTGGATATGGGAATTAGCTTAAAAATATTGAAAGATTTGGGCCTCCTGATGGTGCAGGGATTAGAGTCTCAGTGCTATCAAGCTATCACCAGCAACTGTGGCAGGAGTTCAATCCCACAGCAGGGAACTGACCCACATGGCACAACAGACCTCTCCTGTCTCGTCCTCTGCTCCCCTCTGCAGTGCATTTCAGTAGATCTACCTGTTCTACTCCCCACTCTCTCTCTCATGAATCCTTTCACCCCACTCCATAATGCCCCCACCTTGGCCTACACCCCAGTTCTTATCCATAAATAAATAAATAAATAAATAAAATCTTTAGAAAATATTGAAGGATTTCAAGAGTTTATGGTTCAAATACATAAAAGGGCAAAATTTAGAAAATCAAAAATAGTTCAGTGATCTTGACTCAGAACAAAATCAAGTCAGGGTTAGTTAATTTTTTTAAACTTTTTTTTTTTTTTTGTAGTAGACTACAAGAAGTTGCAAAAATAGTGGATGCTCCATTTACTTATCACCCAGCTTCCTCCAGTGGTAACATTTCATGAAATAGTAACATTATCAAAACAGGAAATAAATTGATTTTTATTAGTTTTTCTGAGACATAAAACTTTTCCCATGATTGAATCTCTTATTTTCACTATGTGAAACTTTATAAAATTTGATCAATTAAAAAAATCATTTGTGTTACATTTATTGATCATTTTAGTGTCTATCAGATTCTTAAATTTAATCCCATGGTGTTGGTACTAATATCACTTCAATATATAGTTGATGAAAATAAGGGATAGACGAATTGTGTGATATGCCTAAAGTCACACATTCTTATGGAAAGTATCAGGGTCAGGTTGAGGAGTGCATTTCTGCCCAACTTCAGTGTCCACAGGCTAAACTACTGTCCTTGAATAATGATCCATTTCCAAAAATGCTTTGCACCTCTGGAAGGATTAAAGATTGATTGACCATCTCCTATTATGAATTGGAGAAAACTACTCACATAGTTGCTTGAATTCTCCTAAAACCCAAATAAACTCATCTCCCGTGATGAAGGGAGAGGAGTCATAAAAGAAAAAAGAAAGAGCAGTTCAGACTTGGGTGAAAGGGCAGGAACATCAGAAAAAAGCTTTGGCAGTGGGGTTTTGCTATGGAACCCTCAGCTGAGGTCTACAAGGAAGCAGGAGAGTGGTAGGATACTGAATGCCAACATCAAATATTTCAAAACACTGCCCCAAACAGGTTCTGAATCCAGAAAGGAGAATTCACGTCTTTTCATCATGCTTTTATTCTCATGCAATGCAGTGCTGTCTAATCATAGGGTCCAGACTCAAGTTAACTCTGTCAGCACATTAATCATTCATTACTGATTTTATGGGTCAATTCTAACTCTGATTATTCTGGTCTCATAGGTTTCAGACATAAAACATAAGTATTCCAGAAAGTTCAATATTATGCATTACCTTGACAATATTCTCAAATTATGTCTCAATTTTTCATAGCTGATTATTTCATAGCAAATCTGAGCCACATCCTGGTCCCTGCCTTATACCTCCATGCTTTGTCCCTTCTGTCACTGTCAGGTCAGATTATTTAGATAACTTGATATTTCCTCTGGAAACCTCTTTTTCTGTGAAGATACAGTTTGAAACCCACACAACTGCTTTCTATATCACTTTGGGATTCAAACTGTTGGGAAGTTGGGAATTACACGTACTCTCTGGTTTGGTTGTAAACATCTTAACCCTCAAACATTTTCTCTATGGACTAATTTATAGCAAGGAAAAAAATCCATTGTTTCAATTTTAGGATAGTTTATAGTATACATCAAAAACAATTCCTCTCTCCTGTTCTGGCAGATGTCTTAATTAATCTATCTTTCATATTAATGAAAGGCTGGGCTGCAGGACTCACCTAACTCTTAAAAGAAATTTCTCTAAAGTTAATAACCTCAGAGAGTTTGCAAAGCTGGTATGGAATTTACAGAACAAAGCTGTGAAGAGCCACAGGCCTTCTCTAATAAAGACATCGCTTGTTTCTACTGCATAGTTTTGCTTACACAGCTTTATAGGCATTCTCTGTCTGGAGGGTACTAAGCCCATTCAAATGCCCTATTTTTCTTCTAATTGCTTTCTGCCACTGGCTTGTTAGCAGGTCTCACCATCTCTCTCTCTCTTTCTCTCTCTCTCTCTCTCTCTCTCTCTCTCTCTCTCTCTCTCTCTCTCTCTCTCTCTCTCTCACACACACACACACACACACACACACTCCCTCCCCCACGTCAGTATTTACCTTCCATTCCAGCATGTCCATCTACCTCAGGATAAAGGAAATTCACTGCTCCTTAAAAAGCCAGCAGCAATGTGCATATCTGAACCTTCCTGCAACATTTATAAGCTCTGTCAGTTTTTCCTTCTCTTTTCTTTGTGTTCTGTGGTATTCAGCACTTTCTGCAAAGAATGTAATGAAAAAAATTAGAAGATCAAAGAAGGTGCTTATCTCCAGCAACATGTCCAAACAGACACTCTGGCCCTCACTAATATGCTCATCTAATTTGCTCGTGAGCCCAGACCTGGAAAGAAAAGCATCTTGAGGAAGTTTTCTTCCATGGGCTGAGCCATCTGCTAATGCGGGCCTGTGCCAGTAATTTAGAAGTAATGGTTTACAGCTGTGAACCCTGGCTTCTGCGCTGTTTTGGTCATTTAGTAATTACAACAGTTTCATTAACATTTAAAGGGAATAGTCTGCTCAATATCAATTAGGGGCTATCTGCAACTGTGTAGCTCCATTTTCATATTTGCATTTGACATTTAATATTCTGCACACATAAATTCTTGGTCTTGAAAATGCATTGCCACAGAAGGTCAAAATTAATCCAGAGCCCATTTCTACCTAGCTCTACTAAGCTTTAGGAAATATTTCTGCAGAGAGAGGGAACATAAAAGGTTATTTTGGGGCGGTTTTACACATCTGAACATTTAAGTACTTTTTCCCACTACTAAAGTTAAGGTTAAAGAGTTCCCCTCAATTCTTGTTATATCTCCTGTATTCTGGGGACATTCCAAAGTTATCTGAGGCAGATTTGCATAGTATTAAGCAGAAAGATGACATCTATTACTTGCAAATCTTACATAACTGCAGTGATATTTAACTTTAATATTTGAGGGTATTGGGGGGTGCTGTGGATTTCAACACTTTATAAATAGAACTTGACTATGATAAAAAAAAATCTTTCAAAATCATTTCATCAGGGAATAGGTCTTGATCACTTATTAAATTGTTGAGCAAATGGTGGTTATGCTCAGGTTTATATCAGAAGAAACAAAATATCCAAGATAATTTGAATTTCATGTGGCTGAGGCTGGTCCAAAGATTTGATCCCTGATAGTGACTGAAGGTGAACAATGGGGAGCAGAAGGTCATCAAATAAATAGAAAAGCCCATCAGGAGGAAGAGGAGTGATTTGAGATTATTGAGGGAGTATCGGTTAAGAATGGGTGGAGTGACAGGTAAAGAACATTTAGAACTGATATCTGCTGTTTCTTTTGGTTCTCAGGATCTCCCTGTGACATGAGATGAATCTTTGAACATGTATGTTATTCTATAGATCAGAAGTAGGAAAGAGTCCATTGAGTAAAGGAAGAGTGATGAAGAGGGTGTTTAAAGATATTCTGCTGGGTAATTGGATTCCATGTAGGTATAAGCAGATATAAAACTGTGTCTTATCTGATGTGGGAGAATCTACATGTTGAGATGCTTTAAGGAACTTTCTTTTGTTTGAATTTTAAAACTATTCAGTCTTGTGCTACTTACTTATGTAGAGTAACTTTAGGAACACAAAGTGAAAATTGGAGGGAAAATATCTATACGTCTTAGGGCATATTTTTGGAAAGAAGTCCCATATTTCTACTGCCCAGAGCACAACTAAAATGGCACCTACAAGAGGTGGGAAGTAGCAGTCCGAATCAGTAGGGAAATTTCCCAATCAGATCAGATCATTGAAATGGTCTTTTATACACACACACACACACACACACACACACACACACACATAGTCAACTAAAAATAAGGTATATTTTATAAAACCTTCAGTTTCATTGAGCGTACATGCATGACAATAAATTTCACAAATTTTATTTCAGATTATTTCTCAAATAATTTATTCCCAAAGACTTATAACTTCTTATTCTCTGAACAGAGAGGTTGAAGCCCAGAAAATTAAATAGGTTAAACATCATATAGGTGGTAATTGTCAAAACTGAGGTCGAACTGTAGAGTATCTGTCCTTTAAGAATCTACCAGACATCTTTGGTGTGTCTTTTTATGACATATGGCAGGAAAATCAGGTTCGGACAAGTCCATATGAATCCATAATGTGCATTTACTCTTCACCTGTTTTTGCCTCTGAATTAGTAACTTCTCTGAAGCTGTGTCCTCAACTTAAAATAAAATATGTGATATTTGTAGTGTTTGCAATAGTGTAATAAATACTATGCTACTTTCTAAAACTTTCCTGAATATTGGAATGATCTGAAATGCTTATAAGACATGTAGATGCCTCAACCGCTTCTTTCAAATTTTGATAGAATAGATCTGACTTGAAGATTTAAATTTTAGCATCCAAAATTTCAGCATTCAAAATTTTAGTAAATGACCTGGGATATCTTGGAAACACTGAATTAAGGTACATACATTAGTACAGTTATTATCTCCTAAGTAGAGCTTATTGACTGTTGCTGCTATTATTGAAATTGCCAACTTGGTTAGTTATACTCCCAGATATTATCTGCTCTGGAAGTCCTCATCATTACTCACTGTCAACCAACCAAGTTGCTTCTGTTAGTTCATGTTGCAACCTCAGAGCTCCATTGAACTATGGGTTACAACCTATTACTTACTTTTCAGTCTGAGACTACTGAGTTCTATCTTCCATGATTTAGAGGCTCAGCCCTTAACTGCAAACATCAGAATTCTTATTTAGTTCATTTCAATAGAAATGTAATCCATTATGCGATATTATATGACTCAGAGAGTCTCACAAGTAGGAGACATAGAATAGAGGTGCAGGAACTTGTCCAGTGTCCCTCACTTCACGATCCTGCAAAAAACCCCACTGTGGCTGGGTCCAATCACTACACTGGCTCCTCTGATTCTACAGAAACTGAACACTGGTTTCTCTAGTCCCTTTATTGCTTGTCTCAAGTCATATCTGTGTATTTTAGTTGCAGGGGTAACTGGAGAGAAACCAAAGATGTCTGCCTCTCCCATGACTCAGATGGTATGGGATTTTCCAATTAAGAAAGGCAATTTAGAAACGAAGGGATTAAAAAAATGGGAATTGTCCACTACACCTCTCTCTCAATGCCTACCTTATTCTGGAGAAAGAAAAAGGGAATATTTCAGGATTAAGGACAGATAAGGCATAGAAACTTCAGATGAGGACCAACAGCAGAAAATACGAATTATATGCTTAAGAATCTAATATAAGTGGCAACATCATATGTATTTAGTGTCCAAAATTGTTAATGATGAATAACTGAAGGAAATAAAGAAGGAAGGAAAGAATACTTTCTGTGCAGTTCCCTTGTAGCTCACATTCTACATAATACAGGATTTCAGAGGAACTAGATTGCTGTCTTACCACCAATTCCTTAGTAAATATCTACCAGTGACTTCCCATTAACTTTCAGAGAAAGATAAACCTTAAATTCTCCCTAGCAGGCAATACTGGGGCTTCTCCTTACTCTGTCCCTGAATAAAGTAGGCTCTGGCCCTATTTCTGCAAAACCTTAAAAACACAGTCTCCTCTTGGACATTTTGCTCAAAGACTGAGGCTGCATCATCCTTTTACTCACCTCCACAGTTACTATTTACCCTTCCTATAGTTGTGTTCAGCTGAGTTCTAGAGACTACATTATGTTTTATTTAAATCTTTGGTGTCCATGATAACCAAAGTGGGGCATTAACAATACATAGTCTTCATGTATATGTAACTTTCAATACCAAAGATAATGCTATATTTTCTATTTCTGTGGAATTTTAGTGAAATTTGTCTCCATAATGGTAAAGAAGCAAGCTTCAAATTCATAGTGTGATGCAAATGGTATTAAGCACTGATGATTTTGAACACAAGAGTAAACTAAAATATATCTTTAAAAAATAATAAAATAAGGCATATCTTATTCAGATCTTCAAAATTGCTATCCTGGAATAACATGTCCATAATGTCCATAACTCCATTTATGGACTCAGCTGAATAAATAATACCAAGAAGATATTTGTCTAAGAAAACTGTTCTGCAGACAACACTGTGCATCCTGATATCTCCTCAGTGCATTTTCCCCCAATTTTTCTAATTGAATAAAATGTGAAGGCAGTTTAAATAATAGGGGCCACAAGCTAATTACTTTGGGAAGAAAAACTAAAACTAGTGGTGGACAGGAAACCTGACAATCTCCATAGAAAATATGGTCTAAAGCACCAGTGATTTGCAGAATCCTTGCTTCTATCAGATGAAACACACTCTTTAGTATGAGTAAGAGTGGTAAAAAATTATGTGAGTAGGAAGGTTTATGTAGATATTTTTATTTTCTGGAAGGCTGCATCTTACTCACCATTTACTTGGGTGTAAATTTTTTGAAAGGGCATAATAAAAGGTTGTTTTTTCCATTTATCACAATGAGATGTATATTTCAAAATCTCTAGCATGCTAACATTTCAATATTCAGTGGGAATTAACGTTTGGTAAATTTTGGATATTTAAGATTAATGTTCTATGCTATCTGCATTATTTTTTTCACCCCCATCCTTTTTGTATATATTGTCTTTATTTAATTTTATAGTTATGCTAATTTATTGAAAGTAATAGAAGGAATCTGGGGAAATGGTAGAGTTTGAAAACCCAGAAATCTTTCCCCTACCTAGATTGAAATTATATTGGCAGAATCTGTCTGATGGAACAATTTGGGAACCCTGATGACTACAAAGTCTTGAAAAATACAGGGTGGGGAGGCTGGAATGATAAATTGTGGTTAGTTTTGTCGATTTCAGTTCCACAAATATTAGCACATTCCCTAGCCTTAACCCTGTGGCATGCAGGTCTGTACTTTCTCCTGCAGCAACTTGCACAAGCTTGTGGAAGTCAGGAATGGCAAAGAGGATTCCCCAAATATAGAAGATCTGTGCTCTGAAAATACTGTTGCTTCTAATCACAGAGGTACAGACAGAAGTGGCTGCCAATATTATTCCACTTTTTTCTATTTTTCCAAACTTCTTTCCTTCTAACTAAAGTACTTCCAGGGATTTAAAGTCTATTGCTTCCCGGGCCTCCCCGGTGGCGCAGCGGTTGAGCGCTGGCTTGTGAAGCTGCCCGCAGCCTCTGCAGCACCGGTTCGATCCCCAGCTGCTCCCGGCTGCTGGAGGAGGG